TCCTTGTAACAACCTTTTATGTACTTGAAAACTGTTATGTTCCCTCAGTCTTCTCTTCTCCAGACTAAACAAACCCAATCTTCCCTCATAGGTCATGTTTTCTAGACCTTTAATCATTTTTGTTGCTTTTCTCTAGACTTTCTCCAATTTGTCCACATCTTTCCTGAAATGTGGTCCCCAGAACTGGACACAATACTCCAGTTGAGGCCTAATCACTGTGGAATAGAGCAGAAGAATTACTTCTTGTGTCTTGTTTCCAGCATTCCTGCTAATACATCCCAGAATGATGTTCACTTTTTTTGAACAGTGTTACCCTGTTGACTCATTTAGCTTGTGATCCACCAGGACCCCCAGATCCATTTCCGCAGTACTCCTTCCTAGGCAGTCATGTCCCAGTTTGTACATATGCAACGGCTTGTTCCTTCTTAAATGGAGTTTTGCATTTGTTCTTATTGAATTTCATCCTATTTACTTCAGACCATTTCTGCAGTTTTTCCAGATCATTTTGAATGTTAATCCTATCCTCCAAAGCACTTGCTACCCCTCCCAGGTTGGTATTGTCCGCAAACTTTGTAAGTGTATTCTCTATGCCATTATCTAAATCATTGATAAAGATATTGAACAGAACCAGACCCAGAACTGATCCCTGCAGGACCCCGCTCATTATGCCCTTCCAGCATGATTGTGAACCACTAGTAACGACTCTCTGGGAATGGTTTTCCAACCAGTTTTGCACCCACCTTATAGTAGCTCCATGTAGGCTGCATTTCCCTAGTTTGTTTATGAGAAGGTCATGTAAGACAATATCAAAAGCTTTACTAAAGTCAAGATATACCACATCTACCACTTCCCCCCATCCACAAGGTTTGTTACCCTGTCAAAGAAAGCTATCAGGTTGGTTTGACATGATTTGTTCTTGAAAAATCCATGCTGACTATTACTCATCACTTTATTATCTTCTACATGTTTTCAGATTGATTGCTTGATTATTTGCTCTATCAGCTTTCTGGGTACAGAAGTTAGGCTGACTGGTCTGTATTTCCCTGGGTTGTCCTTATTTCCCTTTTTATAGATTGGCACTATATTCACTTTTTTCCAGTCTTCTGGAATCTCTCCTGTCTTCCATGACTTTTCAAAGATAATCGCTAATGGCTCAGATATCTCTTCAGTCAGCTCCTTGAGTATTCTAGAATGCATTTCATTAGGCCCCGGTGACTTGAAGATTTGAAGACTTGTGGCACCTTAGAGACTAACAAATTAATTTGAGCGTAAGCTTTCATGAGCTACAGCTCACTTCTTCGGATGCATTCGGTGGAAAATACAGTGGGGAGATTTATATACACAGAGAACATGAAACAATGGGTGTTACCATACATACTGTAATGAGAGTAATCACTTAAGGTGAGCTATTACCAGCAGGAGAGCGGGGGGGAAAAAGCCTTTTGTAGTGATAATCAAGGTGGGCCATTTCCAGCAGTTCACAAGTACGTCTGAGGAACAGCGGGGGACGGGACGGGGGGGCGGGAATAAACATGGAGAAATAGTTTTACTTTGTGTAATGACCCATCCACTCCCACTCTTTACTCAAGCCTAAGTTAATTGTGTCCAGTTTGCAAATTAATTCCAATTCAGCAGTCTCTCGTTGGAGTCTGTTTTTGAAGTTTTTTTGTTGAAGAATTGCAACTTTTAGGTCTGTAATCAAGTGACCAAAGAGATTGAAGTGTTCGCCGACTGGTTTTTGAATTTTATAATTCTTGACGTCTGATTTGTGTCCATTTATTCTTTTACATAGAAACTGTTCAGTTTGGCCAATGTACATGGCAGAGGGGCATTGCTGGCACATGATGGCATATATGACATTGGTAGATGTGCAGGTGAATGAGCCTCTGATAGTGTGGCTGATGTGATTAGGTCCTACAATGGTGTCCCCCAAATAGATATGTGGACACAGTTAGCAACGGGCTTTGTTGCAAGGATAGGTTCCTGGGTTAGTGGTTCTGTTGTGTGGTGTGTGGTTGCTGGTGAGTATTTGCTTCAGGTTGGGGGGCTGTCTGTAGGCAAGGACTGGCCTGTCTCCCAAGATCTGTTAGAGCGATGGGTCGTCCTTCAGGATAGGTTGTAGATCCTTGATGATGCGTTGAGGTTTTAGTTGGGGACTGAAGGTGATGGCTAGTGGCGTTCTGTTATTTTCTTTGTTGGGCCTGTCCTGTAGTAGCTGACTTCTGGGTACTCTTCTGGCTCTGTCAATCTGTTTCTTCACTTCAGCCGGTGGGTATTGTAGTTGTAAGACTGCTTGATAGAGATCTTGTAGGTGTTTGTCTCTGTCTGAGGGGTTGGAGCAAATGTGGTTGTATTGTAGAGCTTGGCTGTAGACAATGGATCATGTGGTGTGGTCTGGATGAAAGCTGGAGGCATGTAGGTAGGCATAGCGGTATTGCCCCATGTTTATTCCCCCCCCCCCCACTGTTCCTCAGACGTTCTTGTCAACTGCTGGAAATGGCCCACCTTGATTGTTACTACAAAAGGTTTTCCCCCCCCTCCCCCGCTCTCCTACTGGTAATAGCTCACCTTACCTGATCATTCTTCTTACAGTGTGTATGGTAACACCCATTGTTTCATGTTCTCTGTGTATATAAAGCTCCCCACTGTATTTTCCACTGAATGCATCCGACGAAGTAAGATGCAGCTCACGAAAGCTTACGCTCAAATAAATGTGTTAGTCTCTAAGGTGCCACAAATCCTCCTTTCCTTTTTAGATTAGATTAGGTTAGATTGGATATATAGAGTTCAGGAGCCTACCCCTGTTTTCCTCGCTATTCCATTCACTCGTATAAAAAAATTATAAGGCTTGAGTTTTAGAGCTTCGGAGCACCCAAAAACTCCATCACTGGGCCATGGGTTCTCAGCAGCTCTGAAAATCCAGAAAGTAGATATTGGCTGAGTACATATAACTTAAAAAAATCTCCATACCCTGAAAACTGGTACTATTTAAATGGTGTTAGAACTGTTTTAAAGTCTGTTCTCCCTACTTATAAGTTACAGCAAAGTTCTCTTCAAAGTGTTAATTTTCTTCACATAATTCTGTCTCTAGTTCTATTTGTGTTCTTTCACAATGGGTTAATATATGCACCATGAAACTCTAAGGACTAAAGTAAAAAATAAATTATGAGCCCTGTGTTAATGAAAATGGGAGCATCCTGCTAAATAGCCAACACACACACACAAACGTATGTATGTGCAGAGAGATTTTTGTATGCACAATTTAGCTCAGGGAATATTCTCATTACTAAAGTATAAACACTTGAAAAGAGAGGGTGCAAATGGAAATGCTGACCAGCCATGTTAGCCATCGTTGTGCATATGGCACTATTAAAACTTCCAATACAGAGATAATATTGATATACAGGATTAGGGAATAACAAACACCATTAAGCTGTGGACTCAAAATGAGAAAGCATTTTAGCAGATGGAAGATGGATTAATCTTCTATTATGCTGCTTATTGTCAGTCCTTACTGTGTACTATTATCAGAGGTAATATGAATATTATGTTACACCTAATCAGTCTTCAGCCATGTGACACAGAAAAGCATGATAGTATTCACAGGCATACTTTCTCTTACGTGACACCAATCTGTCACTTGTTATTTTCCTGATGTCCTTTGGAGCTGCCTTTCCCAGCATTCTTTATTCTTAGAATACTGTATGCGTGTTTGCTGGTAGAATCTTCTTACTAGACAGAGAGAACCAGATCAGTCAAAACAGCTTACTGATTAATACATAGCTGCACAGCACTACAAGCTGAAAAGTACTGTGGATACTGATTTGAGAGGGACGTTGGCATGTACTGAAAGAAAAGCGGAAACAGATCTAAAGGGGCCATAATTCAAAAACTATTGCATGCTGTACAGAATAGCAATACTGTACTTAGCATTTCTTTAGCACTGGGCATATTCAAAGCACTACACAAACATTATTAACTAATTAATCCTCACCACACCCTAACCCTACCATTTACTGTAGGGGTCAGAAGTGGTTCTATTATTCCTACCTCAGAATTAGAATATATTGCACAGATGCAAACATAACTGAATAAGGTTTACCATGCAAGGTCACGGTAGAAGAATGCTATTTTGGCTAAAATAGCTGTTCTCAAAGGATGATGCAGTAGCTGGTTTTCTGGACCATGTGATCTTGCTAGTTTTTAAAATTATATAAATATCCAAGTCTGGTCAGAATGAATTCCTGGATACTTGAGAACATGTTAACAGTCTGATTCCACAATTAGGGAGACTGCTTCTACTACCAATATTTTATATTTATATATATAGTGCCTTGTATTCCAAATCAATAAACTACAAACCAGCTTTGAAATGCAGCCACCTCTGGAATGGAGCATAGCAGCCATCTGGTATGTCGGCCATGGAAAATCCCATGGTGCTTTTTTAAAGAGTGGGTATTTGCCCCAATGTCCTTGGCCACAATTTCCCATTCTCCTCACACTAGACAACATTTATGAAGGGGAATAGGAAATGTTGTCTAAGGACACTGGGGCTAATACCTGCTCTTTAAAAAGCAAAATGGGATCTTCCATGACTATGCAAACCATCAGGTATCAATTGAAAGACTCCCATGCGTAAACTGTATGGTACGTGATTCATTTTTCTCTGAAGGATGGAGACCTTGTTGACATTTCCATCTGTGTTTGGTGAGAAGAATTCAGTCATTTCTCTTGGATGTGTACCTTGCCACAATTACTGATGTCTCCTTGACACTTGATTGGATTCTTGTACTTGCTCAGAAGTAGAATTGGCCAGAGAACAACAATTCCATTGTGTGACTACTTTTTATTTTCTTACATATGTTTTTTGTTCTACACTGGAATGAAAAAAAAACTTTTTGAACATTTTCATGAAATAGAATTGTGTCAACTTGTCCATTTTTGGATGGAAATTATCAGGTTTTTTATTCCTCTCTGTCTCTCGTCAGAGGCGATCAGCTATGCCACCCTACACCTCAGAAACCTTCCCGTTGAAGATTCTGCTGGAATCAGTAAGTCTCAAAAAAAGTTTCAGCTTTGCCAGAACAGCATATTTTGATAAAAATATATTTAGTCAAAATGTTCCAACCTGCTGTACTCAGAAGCTATAGCTGCTTTGGCTTGTAGTGGCCTGAATGCTTAGTAGAGTTGAGAGTACGTTACACCAATGCTCAGTAGACTTTCCTATTGGCTTTCAGGTGTAATTCAAGCTGGCAGAATTAAGCGTTAGCTCCCTAAGAAACTGCTTTTACAGCTGTGACAGTGGCACTGACATTGGCTGATTTGCTCTTACTAACATTGCTAAGATTCAGTACTTCAGGGCCATTTTCAGTTGAAGGCTCTCAAATGCTAGACTCTGCTCCTTCTTTGCTCCAACAGAGCGGGAGTGTGTTACCCTTCAGGGCATGGTGCAAAGCCCAGCTTTTTATTCTGAATTTTACCTGTGGGATGAAAGGGGGAGTTACATTTATTCCAATATTTGTTATGGGGCAAATTTGTATTACGCAACATTAAACTATGTTCCTTATCAGAGCGATTTCCGATTACTATGCCTATTAGTCTCTGCACATGCTCAAGGCAGTATTTTGAAAATGAAAATAAATACATAGAAACACTAGGGTTAAAAAAAAGGCAATGAAGCATTTAAAATTTGTCTTTTCTCCTGTGTGTTTTCCTTTGCTTTACTGACCAGCTGTGCACACTTAACCTGACTGCCCTGCCAACTGCACAAATGTCATATAAATAGAATCATAGAATCTCAGGGTTGGAAGGGACCTCAGAGGTCATCTAGTCCAACCCCCCTCAAAGCAGGGCCAATCCCCAATTTTTGCCCCATCCCTAAATGGCCCCCTCAAGGATTGAACTCACAACCCTGGGTTTAGCAGGCCAATGCTCAAACCACTGAGCTATCCCTCCCCCCGCATAAAGGCAACCAGTAAGTGAAGAACACGACTATAACAGTTGCGGAGCAGTGGAGCTGCTAGAAAGGCTGGAAGCAGCAGACTTACTACAGGGCTTGACTAACCTTTCTGTTTGCCCTTTCTGACTTTTCTTTCCAGTTACCCCGGTGAAGAGGATAAAATGTGTGTTACTAATCAACAGGAGTAAATGGTTTAGGGAATAGAGCACACCACCGGCTAGAAACTGAAGGCAGAAGACTACATTCTGCCCTACTGCACTGAGGGCAATGGGGTTGCACAGATATAAATGACAGCAGAATTTTCCCCACTGTATTTAACCTAATACTGTTTGTGCAGCTGTAATACAACAAGAATTAATTGGCCTTTATGTCAAGCATGGAAATAGTTCATATTTTAGTACAATCTGAAAGGTTCAAAGCTCCTGGCCTCCCTTTACACAGGGTGGCCAGTCTTGCAAGCAGTCCCTGCACCTTCATAGAGCTCTGATGACTTTAAGTTTCTTGGCCAAAAGAAAGCGCAGTGAAACTAAACGCTTTACTGGTCTAGTTCATCTAGTAGAGTATTAGAAAGCAGAACCAGACTTGTCCTGCAGTCCTTAGTTGAGCAAAATCACTGGGAGTTTTGCCTCAACAAAGAATACAGAATCCAAGTCAGTGTTCTCAACCTGCAGCTCCATCAGCACACAACTGTGGCCCATGTAATATCCACAGGGCCATAAATAGGGCAGGGCAGGAGGGGCACCTGTCCTACGCACACAGCTGGGGGGGGGGAAATGGGGTGGTGCAGGATCAAGCCCAGCATCAGTCCCCAGCAGGATCAGGCCCATCAATGTCAGCCTCCCAGGGTGCTCAGCGCCCCACCCCCAACAGGTTTGCGGTGACCTTGGCTGAAGCAGGCTCCCCAGCATTGATATCGCAGGGCAGGGTGCATGGCTGAGTACCTGCAGCCAAGGTAGGAGACCAGCAGGCACTGGGAGGAGGGTGCAGGGGGCTGGGGCATGGGGATGAGGATGCAGCTGGTGCATGGGAGACAGACTCTAGGTGGGGTACTGGTGGCTGGAGGCAGTCCCTGCATGAGGGGGGGCTCCATACTGCGGCACAATCCCTGGATGAGGGAAGTCTTTATGGGGGTTGGGTGCTGAACTGGGGGGCAGTCCCTAGGTAGGGGGCTAGGTGCTGGAAAGGGCAGTTCCTTGCAGGGGCTGTTCTGTCCTGGAGAGGGCATCCTGTCTATGTAGGGCAGACACATGTGCCAGCCCAGTGTTGGGGAATCTGAATACTGGGAAGACAGTCCCAGGGGGGTTGTGTGATGGAGGTATTCCCTGGCCAGGGGCAGTCTGGGGAGGGGCTGGGTGCATGGGGGGCAGCCCTTGGCTGGGGGCCTAGGTGCATGGGGTAACTGGGGACAGTCCCTGGCTGGGGGGGGCAGCCTTTGGCTGGGGGTTTACCCTGCACCAGGCAGGGCTCCCCGTCTTTGCAGGCAGGTTCTGTAGCCGCGCTCTCCGGGCGCTCTGCCGAGCTATGCTGCTAACAGCGGCACAGAAGTGAGGGTGGGAATACACCATGCCATGCCATTCTTACAGTAAAATAATTCATTTTAACAGTTAAAGTTTTGACTTATTTTGCTAATTTAAAAGGCTCTTGGTAGACATTTGCCAGTGTTGAAATGAAAGGTACTATCTCAATTTGAATGGTAGTGCTGTCATATAACAAAGCCTTTTTTTTTTTTTTGGCAGATGTACAAATAGTATATGTAGGGTTGCCAGGCGTCCGGTTTTCAACTGGAATGCAGAGTCGAAAAGGGACCCTGGTGGCTTTAGTCAGCACTGCTGATCGGGCTGCTAAAAGTCCGGTCAGCGGTGCAGCGGGGCTAAGGCAGGCTCCCTGCCTGCCCTGACTCTGCACGGTTCCTGGGAGCAGCCAGCATGTCCGACTCTGAGGCACAAGGGTGACCATGGGGGCTCTGCACGCTGCCTCCGCCCCAAGTGCCGGCTCCGCAGCTCCCATTGGCCAGGAATCATGGCCAATAGGAGCTGCAGGCATGGGCAGCGTGCAGAGCCCACTGGCCACCCCTGTGCCTCGGGACTTCAGGGACATGCCACCTGGCCGGAGCCTGCACCCTGAACACCCTCCCACACCCTAACTCCCTCCCAGAGCCCACACCCCTCCCTCCCTCCTACACCCCATCCCCTCCCACACCACAACTCCCAGCCCTGAGCCCCCTCCTGTACACCACACCTCCTCCTGCACCCCAACTCCCTGCCTCAGCCCAGAGCCCCTTCCTGCACCCCAAACCCCGAATCCCTGGCCCCACCCCAGCCAGAGTCCTCATCCCCAGCCAGAGTCCTCACCTCCTACCGCACCCCAAGCCCCTGCTCCAGCCCAATGAAAGTGAGTGAGGGTGAGGGAGAGCAAGCAACAGAGGGAGGGGGGATGGAGTGAGTAGGGGTGGGGCCTTGGAGAAGGGGCAGGGCAGGAGAGGGGCCTCAGGGAAGGGGTCTGGCAGGGGTGCTCAGTTTTGTGTAATTAGAAAGTTGGCAACCCTAATGATATATATTGTGTGGATGCAGCCCACATAACACACAGAGAGCTACATATGAGGCCCACAATGCTAAATAGGTTAAGAACCACAGAGCAAACCCTTTTCAGGCTCCAATGCTACAAGTTGCTCTATACCTGTGGACCTCTTGAAATTATTTCAAAGAAATTATTTAAAGAATTAAGGTTGGCCTTGTGAAGAAGTGTAGTACCTCTTTAAGGGACATGCTGGAGCCTACTACCAAAACAGCCTGGGTGTAATCAAGGAAGCCCCTCTCCCACCCTAAGCTGTGTCTATCTAAACAGGAAAAGGAAGTGGATTAAGAGAGGGTGTTAATGGCTATGTAGGTTGCCTGGTCTGCTTGTGTTCTCCAATGGGACTAGCCTGAGTGATCCCAGAGATTTTTGCTTGCTGACTCTCAGTTTAGGAGCTATGAACCAGGGCTCTGAGGTCAGGGCCTTATGAATGCTAATATTGCTCCTTCTCTGAGACCTGCTTAAAGGGGACATTGTTTTGTTTTGGCTTCCCCTTTACATGCCTTTAATCAGAAGATGTGTGTTTTAAAGGTGTCTTTGTTCTCTTAGCTAAGAAACTTGCAAGCTCTGATTTCTTTTTTTTTAAATTATTTTCTTTCCTGGCTGACTTCCTTTTCCTAAAATCATCATTTTCCTAAAACAACTGTAATTTGTAAAAAGAAAAGAGCAAAGGAGCTTGCTGGTGCAGTCCCCTCTTCCCCTGTCATGATGCTATGCAAGTTTACGCTAAAGTTATCTATCGAATGTCTTCTACATAAAACCATCATGTGTACATGAAGAGAGTCTTAGGCCTAAGCATTATAAATACCATGGAAATGGAACTATTACTACCTCCACAGAAAAATGCTCTCTCCAGGACCAGGCTGGGGTTGCTAGAAAGGAAGCAAACAGTGTGTGCCTTGCACATACCTAGGCTGTGGAGACTGGACTTATATTTATTCATGCCTTACATTTCCATGGTGACTTTCTTGTTTCTACTATTTCCAAACATACAGTGGTTCAAACAAGGGACAAGAATGGGGACACCTGAGTTCTGTTCCAGTCCTCTCTCTGACTTATGCTCACATTCTGCAGAGGGAGCCACCATGTAGACACTTATGCCTGAGCACAGTCCCATCTACTTCAGCAGAACTCAGCATGGTTTTATAGATCCCTTTGCAGGGCTAGTCTGTGACTGCGGGTGAGGCATTTTACCTCTCTGCCTGGGCTTCCACATGTATAAAGTAGGGATAACAATGCTTATCCACCCTCAGACACCACTTTGTGATTCTAAGATGAAAGACACTATGTAAGTGTAAAGCACTTAATTATTAGCATCATAGCACTAGGAAAGGCAGTTTTGGTGTGACATTTGTAACTGAAAGCAGTGGATGCTCAGAAGGATATCTGTGTATCTGAAATCTACACTTATTTCCAGGTCATGAGAATTTCATTCAACATCATGACATTGCCATCACTCTGTTGAAGGAGGGGAGGTTGAAATTGGGCCAAAAGGTGAGCCTTTTGTCATTTTAACCA